AAAAATGCGAACTAATGTAACGTTGTATGGTGAGTTTTTGTTCGTATCATGGAGCAAAAATATGTTCGAATTTCATGTCGTATCCTGAAAATTTCGTATGCTGGGGCGTTCGTAACCTGAGGTACTGTACCACTGTATAAGTAACAAATATATGTATTTACTTATGGTGTACACCACAGTTTGAAATAATATAACACTGAAATTATTTTCAAAAGTTTTTATTTTTACGTTACAGTTTATTTAATCATCTTAATTGATTTTTTTATCATTTTTACAACCTTATCAGTAAATCTACTTTTTAGATTTAAATTTACTAGTCTATTGTTATTTCAATATATTCATTCAAAATTGCGCCGTTGATCGCTATTTCCGACTGGCGCCCTCTTAATTATAAGTACAGTACCTTTCTTTTTTGTTAGATCTATTGATTGCATTTAATGGTTCATTCTTCCTTCTTTAAATACGAAGGTGTCACTTACCTGCAGAGTAGGGGTGTACTGTANAGTAATTGAATATCTAGTCTAATTTTAAACATTGTTTTTAGTTTCTTGCAGACTAATTCTTTTATTGTATGTTCGGATAAAGCGAAAAAACATTCCTGTGCCCGGGAGCATGCCTTCATTGCGTGGGACCCGGGGACAAGTCCATGACACATTGGTACAAATACACAAATGATATTGCAAGTCCATGGCACAACGTCTCGACAAGTCCATGTGCCTTAACCTCCTTGATCATCCTACCGGGAAATTTGCGATAGGCACTATCTATTGACTTGATTTTTAATGTTTATCATGTAGAGACACCGAAAATAATATTTACTCTATTTGTTTTTTTAAATACGCGTTTGAAATTAGCGTAATTAAATTACATTTTAGTGTTTTAATTTCTCGCCGAAAGATGGCGGAAACAGCTTTTTTTTATAAAATTCTAAAATATAAATTATAATACAACTTTTTTATTTTATAAAATTCTAAATTATAAAATTCTATTTGGACAATAAAATTAATATATGTTAGTATTATATATGTTTATAAATATGAATATTGTTAAATAATTAAATTAAGTAATAATACTACGTAATAATAGTGATAAAATAAGTAATAATAAAAGTTACGTTATTAATCATTTCATTTACTTCAATAGTTAAAATTAATAATATCTTTTTAGATTTTTTTTTTGATATTTCAAATCATTAATTGTTTTTGAATTATTAAATTATTATTGTTAATTTTTAAATCTTATATATAACGCACAGTTTAAGAATTAAATTCATTCTCAGACTAACTCGAAGTTCACAATCGTATATTTTAGCTAAAAAAATTGCTAAAAAAAGAGTTATTATGAATAAAACATTACTATTTATAATATATACAATAAAACGGTTTAAATGAGTTAAAAGTGTTTTAATTATGAAATATTTTTCATTATGATCGACAGATGGCAGCACGCATTATAATGAAAATAAGCAGTTTTAAATTTATAAGGTAAAGAAAGCCATATTAAAAATTTTATTATTAAATTATTTTTTAAAATGTATTTAAATAAGTCTACGTATTTTATAAAATGTTAAGAAATACAAATTTGTATTTTGTAGGAAGGAATCACTCCTGAAAGGCTGATTGTGTTCCGTCAATCGAAATATTATAATGAATTTATATTAAAATAATATATGTAAATATTTTATATACTCTTTATAAATAAAATACTTAGCATTTTGCTTCTCATTTTACAAGAATGTTTTGACGATTTATTAGTTTTTAAATCTTCCAAGTAAATTATGGCTGCGAGTCTTTCGCTTTATCTATTAATAGTAGAGAGGTTATTATGAGGGTCGATGAATTGTCGTCAATGGAATTATTGCTCAAATCCGTGTTAGAATCGAGAATTTAGATCACCGGATCAAGGTTACATTCTAGAAAGAAAAAAGTATATGCCTATACAAGTTGACCCCCCTATAACACTGTTGATTATTCCGTTTTATATGAATTCTATGTTGTACGAATCACTCAGATTTTACAAATACGTAAGCCGTTCACAGCCCGGCACACGTATTTGTAAAATCTAAGTGACTCGTACAACATGGTATTCATATAAAACGGAATAATCAACAGTGTTATAGGGGGTCAACTGTATTGTATATATCTGTAAGTTCATTCTTCGGATAAAGTTTTATAATTAAGTAGCCAATATGCCCGGCGATGTTCGGAGTCATCTTAAGGAAACATCGAACATGTTTGAAAATTACGCGTGGTTTTGTTAGTTGATGGACTATATACATTGTATAATTACTTCCGGTGCAGTGTAACTAATTTCGTCGATCCTCTCTATTAATAAAATAAATTTTATTACGAAAAATATGCCGTGTATACTAATAGAGTAACTGTCCGAGTTTCGGCTCCAATCTGAATTCAAACGTCTTGTCGTCTACTATTTCTATGAAATGCGGTAAACGAAAATGGAGATTCCGCAATAGAGAAAGTGTTCCGCAGTTCGCAAAAGTCGGAATCACTCATCATCGTGCAAAATGAGTAATTAGCTGTAGAATTGAGGATACTGTAGAGGTGACAACGGATATGATGTAGCTCCCTTATCAAATGTTATCTAACTTATTAAAGAGGGGATTAAACCGATCATAAAAGAGCCTTATGGTAGAGGTATCAACAAGACCCCATTTGGCAGGGATTTTACATTTACGAGGCCACGAAAACATTTGTTAAAATTTACTCATTTGGAGGCTTCAAAAAGATAAGTGAGTGAAAAGAAGAGGCCCCATTCATATATATATATGAATCGATAATTATTCTCAAAACAACTAAGCATTTATAAAGAAATGCCGCCAATATTCAATAACAAAGGGAACTCGTTTAAGATCGAAAATAAAGTTTATAAATAAACCCGACGTCACACATACGATTTTAAAAATACAATTGTATATCGGCCTCTTTATCACCTAATTATAAATGAATAGATAAGAGTCGAGAGTACTTGTTATGTCTGCGGTGTTCTTTGACCCTTTCTGTAACCTTGTAACACTAACCTTCAAATTGTCTGTTTACAATCGACAATTATTGGAACGATTTCAGCATCCAGAAACGTAAAATATCAAAGCATTTCGTAAACTGGCGATTACAGCAACAGTGACACTTGGCAAATATTGTCATTGCTTCTTAAGAATTTTATATTTTATCATCAGTTTTATATTCTTAAATACAAACACGTCACTATACAGTTATTTAAAAAAAAGAATAGTTTAGTAACTAAAGAGAAGTCTGTATGAAGTAAACGTTTAAGAATATATTTATTTGATGCGTTATTTATTAATTCGAACAGAAACTCGTGAATTCGGATAGAAAAATTCATATAAAATTCATGTTTTGCATAAAAATATGATACGAGAGATACTCGATAAAATTCTAGAACTAATCTATAACTTTAGAAGTGAAGTATGTAAGTGGAGTATTCAAAGTTCAATAGAATATCAGTTCAAATAGCTCTCATGTCATGTTTTTATTCCGTCTTGATTTTCGCAATTTGTCCACGTAACTTATATGGTTTCGATAGGTGTAATGACATTTTCTAACGGGCATTCGCATTTAACATTTATAAGATTTTCCAATTATTACGGATAATCTTTATTTTTGCGAATTTTCTCGCTTATCAATGTACTAACTTATGACTCTTCTCATTCAATGCCTTTAGCATCATTTATCTCGAAATTTTCTGGAGTCCATCCAACTTCAAACTAGAAGAACGTTTGTTAAGATAAGTTACTTCATTCTTCTAGTCTTTATTTAGTATTGAAAAGTTTAGATCGATGCAAACCTCAGTCATACGAGTCAAATTTTCTTTTTCTTCGATACAAGAATTCCCACTTAAGACCAAATATAGAAACTCTGCCAATGGTATAATGTTTAGAAATTTAGATGGGGAGAGGATGTTATTCGGCTTAAAATAGATTTACAATAAATCTTAATCTCTGTGACGATGAGAAAATTCTAATTAAGAAATACCGCTCCCATTTGTCATCCGTAATGACATTGCCTCTTCTTGATAAAAAATAATTATACCTTTTTATTCATATATTTAACGAGGATTGCGTGATGCTATATAATCGTAATTGGCAAATTTCGATCCATATATAGTTTAATATTGTGCAATTATATTGTATACTACTTTATGTATACGTAAACATTTAACATTTGATATCTCATAAGATTCACTATAATTTTAATACATTTCGGCATTTAGAGAGATTGCGGCCGACGTTTTCAACGCGAAAACGTGTACGTCGGACGTTCAGAGTCGCTTTCCTGTGAGCCTAAAAGTTTGACAATGGCGTTTAGAACGTCGAGCACGATTCTACTGACGTTCCAAACGCCATTGTCAAACTTCTAGGCTCACAGGAAGACGGCGCTGAACGTCCGACGTACACGTTTTCGCGTTGAAAACGTCGGCCGCAACCTCTCTATTATATGTGGCATATAAAGTTAAAAATACTTTCATGTTTCTTAATTTTATGTGTATTTTGCCATTAAAAACCAAATCTAATAAAAATTAGAGAAAAATATATGATTCTTTAATTTTTTTAAATGCAAAATACAGAAAAATAGAGAGTATATTTAAAATTTCAAAATTCCTTAAAATTGTTATGAATATTTTCGGCACAAGCATTGAAAAAGTTTAGAATTACGACCGCACTCACTCTAATTTCATACGATAGAAAATATAACTTTACGACAGATATTATTACGAAAGTAAACATATTTATATTCATCGAACGTCGGGATTTTAACACAGCGACCATCCAAACCTGTATACTATAAACAGAATATATTTATTTTTATAAATAAAGAGTATAAAAATTAGACACAACACAAAAAAAACATAAAAACAAGTTTAGAAATATTCGTATTTAACCACTTCATAAATTATATTTAGAAAACCAATTAATAATAATAATAATATTATTTTTTTTTTTAGTCTGGCATTTCGCAACATTCACGCTAGAGGGCGAACGAACGTAAGGGAGAGAATGAAAGACGTCAAATGGTCGTACAAATCAGTGTTTCCTTCTGACCGAGTGTAACGAGTCTGCACGACAGTCGTCTCGTTATTCGTTTTTCAACCGCCTTAAACTCGTTCGGACGACATTTTCTTTCTTTTTTTTTCTTTTTAAATTTAATAAACGGTTTGCAGGTAGGCATTATTCTTTTAAGTATCGTTTTCTTTTATTTTTCCGACCGGGTGAACAATAACAAAGTGTCTATCAACCTCCTCCGTAACGTTAGATCAATTTTGTTCTTCGATTAATGTTTGTTTTCTTTCGCTATATTTATCGTTATCGAGTGGAGTGTGAAATGTCACGTAGGCCCTTTTCTCTTTTATTTATTTCCATTCTTACAAACGTGTTTATAAAGTTGTAATGCTAATTAACTTAAAAATTAATTATTATTATTATTTTTTCCAGAATAAACAAGTTGAATCGTATATATTGAATGGCAAGTTTCAAGAACAAGAAGAAAGAAGATATCCGTAAGTATTTTATTGTTTTTATTTTAATCCAAATTTGATTATTTGTAGAAATTACACACGTGGATTACACTTTATCTCGTTTACACGCCGTTAATTTTTTACCAGTAAATTTATAGAATAAAATATATCGATCCGCTCGTTTCCTTCTCCCGAAGCTCTAGAAATATCTAGACTTTTTTTTTTTTTAAATTAAAATAAAAAAAAAGTGACTGTTTCCACCGTCATTTCGAAACCATGTTTGCTATGGGGATGTCGTCATCCGTTCGTCGTCCCTTCCGACGTAACGATCTAATTATCAAAATAAACTCTGATGATTAAGAATGACGAGTAATTGTTTATTTATGCTCTAGGAAATGATGATTTATCTAAATTGATCCGACTCCATTCATTAATGGGAATGCTTTTAAACTTTGTTTGGTTGTTAGTAGGCTACTTATTATGCTATTAAAATATGACTTTAAAGCCACAACTATTCGAAAATTTGTGTAGTAGGTTCCAGTATAGGAAAACACGTGGTATACGTGGGAAGAACAGAAAAATGGTTTGCTAGTGTGAGGTCACAGTTCCCCATTTTTTAAATCGAAGTTGCGGTTTACCCCGTTAAATTTAGGTATCGATATTTATAGAAATGCATATCGCAGATCTCTCATATGCATATTTAATTAGATGATAATCTGTGTGTACTATATACAAATACATCTAGTATTTTAATGCATTAGACGTATAACAGATCCGTATTAGATATTTCAAACGAGCAATAAGTTATATAGCGTAAGGAATAATGAAGTTTATCGAATAGTATTTATAAAAAGTTGTCTAATTTATCTAAAACAAAGGGATTATCTCTCAGTTAATTTGATTCAATATATTCCACGTGCTGAATAAAGACAAGAGAATATTAAACAAATTTTGTGTCTTCTGTAAATGCAAAATGTAAAGTCTTTGACGTGTCATTTGTAATTAACGCTACAGTTGTACAGTACTGTACATCCTAGTAATTGTCTACGATAGAAATTCGAAATGGATGATACCAATTTAATTCATTAGATTCATTGCGAAATAAATTATTATAGACCCTAGAGGCAGAGTAAATGTTTGTGTACAGGATAATCGACGTATATCTACAATGGGTTATAGGTAAAACCGCACGAATATTTGTTCATTTCTTTGTTTTTATCGTTGGTTACAGAATTAGACATCATCCGATTCAACCTGTTATTTTGTCTGGAGTTTTTCTAGTACCGTCGACGCCGCGAGAGATTTAAATAGGATACTGGAACAAAATTCAAGGCCCATTCGAACGCGAAATAGGCCTACGTTAGTCAGAAATATAAATATAGCCGAATTCCAGAATTCGATGCTTCTCTCCTTCTAATTTTCTCTCATTGCATCAGAAAGATGATAAGATTTTCGATGATAATGGAGAAGAATTTCGGATGAGATTCAATCGACTCTGCTTCCTTTTTTTTTTTTTTTTAACATTTCTGTAATATGCGGATGGTTCTCATCAAAAATAGAATCGGTTTGTCTTATTTACATTAAATTGTCCGAATACCAATGTGGAAGAGCTTTCCTGATTTTTTTTTTGTTCCAATTAAAACATCTTTCTTAAGTAACTCAACAAAATTAAGTTTATATATATAGGCTATATATATAGCCTATATATAAACTTAATTTTAATAATGAAATATATCTTTAATCTTTAATCTACCATTTCGAAAATTTCATATATAAATTTCTTCAGTTAATAAAATTTCATAAAGGCAGCGGAATAATTTCTTAAGAAAGGTTTACAAAATCTATAGAATTACTGCAATATATTTTGAGTCCAGTCACAAGAAACCTTAGTAACAATGAGAGGCTTTTAAAGGGGGAGGACTTCTGTCGAAATCACCCTGTAGTTTTTTTTTCTCTTCATAAGTTTCTACAGTTATTATTTTTGGTTATTGTAATGATATTAAGTTATAATTTGCATTTATAGTATATTCATATTTTTCAGCATTTTTAATTATTTTCGACCAAGCAAAACGTTTAACGTGTTTTTTTAAATTGGAGGTAACCTTGAGTCCAACGAAAAAAAAAAACAAATTAGTTGGAATAATGTTAATTTTTGATAAGGCTTCGCAATTACTTTCAAAGATTGCATTGTGTGAGTAATTGAATATCTAGTCTAATTTTAAACATTGTTTTTAGTTTCTTGCAGACTAATTCTTTTATTGTATGTTCGGATAAAGCGAAATTATTATTATTATTATTATTTTAATTCTAAAAAAAACGAAGAGAAATTATTTTAAAAATAATTTGAATTAATAATTAACTCGGAAGATCGATTATTCGATAGCTAATTTATACACGATATACTTTCTCGGACTGACCTGTATGGTGATTATTTGCTATCGAATTTCTTAATATAGATTTCGAGTTTAGAGAAGGACGGAACAAAGTTCGGGTTGCTGACACCATCGGGAGGCTACTCCAGTCACACTTTGGCTGTTTGCCTGGTTCTGTCGGCTAGGATAACTGTGGCCTTGACTAGAGTGAAAAGCATAAACGGATATTTATAGCGTCTTCCGTAGTTCATTCTAAATTAGTGTAGGTTGCCTTCTATCGTTTTATAGATTATCTGGAAGATGAGGCGAAAAATGCCGACATTTCTCTTGGCACTGGCAATTGTAATACGATTAAATGTTGCGCGCATCCGCCGTGTATTTATATCGTCCAGAAAAAGTCGCGTTGACATAAGAATTTGTGTAATTACGAGTTTTTTTTTCTACAGTATTTTCGCTTAGGTGTACAACCCTTACTGTCTTTAATGGCATTTCTCATATTAATCATAGATTTGATGACATATATATGATGTAATATATATATATAGGTAAAGTCTTCACTACTTTATCTATTTAGCGATAAAAACCTTTCGGATTTTATAGGAAGTACGTACATATTATAATTACGGCACGAAGTAAATATTTAAAAAATATCATATTTGCTGAGATGCTTGAATAATTCGAATGTTTGAAAAGATTTTGGCCACGATCGCGTGTACTTTGTTCTTCTAACGTCACACATGGGTGACGTCAAGATCGTAAATGCCTTAGTTATTTTCTTAGTCATTCATTAGCTCGTTTAAAAATGCTGCGCGTATAATTTTCCTTTAATTACGTGATATTTTATAGTCAAGTTGTTGTATTTTTCGATAGGTAAAGTGATTCGTCATTCGGAATTTCAAAATACTGTAATACTAAAATATAAATTTTCGTTTATAATTTCGTATCTTCTATTATCAGGACTTATTATACTGGCTTTACAGATAATGCTACAAATTTTTACAGAAAACAATTTAATATACCTGTTATACAGGTATATTAAATTGAGAAAAAGGACATTGAGGCATTTTAATTATACTTTAATACTAATTTATTTTTTCCACCGCGTGATTTGCAAGAATTTAATACAGAATTAAATTATTTATCTACGGATACGCGAATATTTTGTTGCTTTATTAAATTTTATAATTGAGATTTTTGTTACTCGAATCTAATTTTTTTTTTTTGAAATAAAATTTTTCAGCAACGGCCAAAGTTCTGTCGCATTTTCCGTTGACATCCGAAGATAACGATACTCCTTCGAGTGGCGATTGTTCCACCTGGCATTGCGCCTTTGCCCCCGACGAAAGTTACTTTGCCTGGTCTTGTGGAAATAATATCGTGTCTGTTGTTAGTTGGGATCGTCGCAGACAGTCACCGTAAGTATCGGTGATTTGCGAAAAGAGGCCACTTTGGGATGCCAGATAAATAAACGGAAGACACTTCACTGCCTATTTTCGTCTTCCTGTTTTTTTTTTCTTTTTATATATAAAACGTCTGATAAAAAATATGAACTGGAGTAACCTTTTGGAGCGGTTATTTTTGCGAATTTGTGCAAATAAATTTTAAAATTTAACAAAATTTCGTCAAAATATTACAATTGATGAATACAATATTATTACTTAAATTAATATAAAATATTTTTTATCAATATAATTTTAATGAAATTAATAAAAATTTATGTATTTAGATATAAATATACAGGGTACTCATAATAATTATCCTGATTATGATATACTATAATTTTTACTTTCCCTCTGTTATAACAGCCAAAAAAATATGGTGATCCATCAAAAAATGACCACCAAGTTTTTTACATTTTAGGACTTAGGACATCCTGAAACGTCAAGAAATGCAAAAAAATTTGGAGTAATTTCTGTATGCATGGATGTTAGTGTATGTGTGAGGGCCACGATTTTGTTCACCTTGTTTGAAGCTTAATAACTCCTGTGCTTTTGTCGAAAATTTCTGAAATTTTGCAGGGAGGTTTGTTTATTAGTGAAATTGATGCTGTTAAATTTTGGTGGTTAAAGATCAAGGAGATGGGGAGATAAAAGGCATGGTGTGTATCTCCAATAGGGACGTAATGGCGATTTGACTGGTTATTAGTATTTGCAGTTTTTTTTTTTTTTTATAAAACTCATCCCTACCCTCAAAATTCAGGTTTTTGCCATTTTATAACAGTTAAAAGTATGTTTTTTTAAAATAAAATATGATAATAAATGACGCCACAAAAATTTTAAATGTTGCTGGGAAAGCTGAGCAATCCATTGCTGATTTATTTAACATTGAATTTCACTTCAGTTTTTGTATCCGTGAACCTTGTACAAATATATGAATTGTTTATCACTATTGCTGCTGGAAGGGCTAATCTATATATATAATCAAGATGGGTTAATAATAATAATAATAATAAGCACAGAGCCCAAATGGTTAGGAGTTGAAAGTTTAAATTTGGTACATAAGGTATGTCATGAGAATGCACACTAAGAAGGGATTTTTGGAAATTTTCCCTGCAGAAGAGAGGGAGAGGGTTAATTAAGTAGTAATTTGAGGAAAATAAAAAATAAAAATAGTATATTTATATTAAATATAATCTAATTTTGGAATTTGATTATATTAAAATAATAAAAGTTCAATAATTATTATATCTAAAATTATATTTAAAAATTTATAATTTATAGTGCAATTGTGAAAGATATAGGTTAAATCAATTTTCTCACATTTTAAGTTAAGAATATGATATTTAACTGCACTGAACTTATATTCTAAATTTAGAATGGTTAATGATTTCATATTATGGTAGGAATACTCACGAAGAAATGTGTACAAGTAAATTTATTAGATAATAAATACACGTTACTGAAAATTAATGTCGGAATTTCTAATCATTGAAGAAGAGATGAATTAGTTAACAGAAAGGCACATTTGTGTTCTCTCACTTATTCTTTCATGAAATACCTGTCATGAAATATAATCAGTCATTTTGACTTTTATATTATATTTTTTATATGCATTATTCTTTTGCATAAAGCCAGAATAAACGTTCTGTGAAATATTTTAACATTTTTTGTGCTAATACTGTAATATTAGATCAATTGAAAGCATTTAATTTGAATAAAGATGCATTTGCATTCATATTCCATTTATTTTTGTCATATTTTACTATTAAGGAACTAAAATATTAAAGATATTCTTTTGCAAAAAAATGAGAATAATTTATTTTGACTTTAAAACTTTTATCAAACTGAAATTTTAATATGTACTGTACTGTATTTTACAGCATATAAGACAACTTTTGCCCAAAAAAGAATTAAAATATTATTCTGAATCTTGTATGAAGTTTCAATCTCCCATAGGCTTATAAATTTTCCGACCTGCCTTCGGTAGGTTACAGATAACATCTACCTAGCCCAGCTTTTGAATAAAAATGTTATTGTTTAATTAAACATATTATTTATGGTTAAACAGCTTTTTGTATTCATGTAGAATATTTTAATGGTAAATTTTAATAATAAATGATTTATTTTAAACTCCTCCTTTTCCCTGATAAATAAAAGTGAATTCTAATAAGAATTTGGGCCCAAGTGCCAAAGGCATGGAATGGCTTAAGTATACTAAATACTTTTTGTGATATTCTGCACTGAAATGGGGGACATTTTATATGCCATAAAATACAGTAATCAATAAATGTCTGATTGTTTTTATTGATGTCTCAGCTATCCAATTTATTACTTTTAATTGTTATATTGATGCCAAACTAAGAATTACAATTAAAAAAAGGAAAAAAAATGATTTATTAGATTTGAAAAATAATTTATAAATTATTTGCATGATAAGCTTTAACTTTGGTTTTAGTGTGTAATTGTTTTTATAATAAATTTATTTGTAGACCTAATACAATGTTGTTTGTATAATGGTTATATATTATTGTATAAGCATATTGACAATAGGATTATTATAGTACTGAATAAATAATGTTTGCAAACTTTTTTCATTCTCATTATCAGAAAATTATGATTAATTTATTTTGAATTATTATAGTCACAACTTTAACCAGAAATTAGTTAATTATAGTCTTATAAACTAATTAGTTATAGTTAAAGAAATTTTTACTCTCCTTTTGATTACTTTGTTAATTACTTAAAAGTAATTGATGTACAGATTGTGCAGTAAATCCTTATTTACATTTTTGGTCTATTATTGCTAAACACCAACCGAATGCCTTCGGGCTAGTTTAAAGTTAATTACTAAATGAATTATGTGATAGATTTTCGGAATTCGGTTGGTGTTTAGCTATATTATATATCGGGTTTAGCGATGTTTGTGGTCTATTATTGACGATAAATTGACAAAATAAAAAAAATTAACAATGGGTTGGCTTTATTATGTAAAAATGTTTGAATTTATTAGTTATTTCATGCCAGTAGTACACATTATTTATGAATAATGCAATATTGGAATGTTTGCTACACACATGTACAGCCACTACATACATACAGTACATATACCAAAATATCAAATGTATTTATTAACTAAACTTCTAAGGAAAGCTTTTTGTTTAAATTAAAACAAATTTTAGGAGAAATCAAATTATGGAATATAGAAGTTATTGTAAAATCGGAAACTAGTTTGCAATATATTAAATGTGTGTGTGTGTTAGTGTCGAGATGATTGAGAGTTCCATTTGCGGATATTTTGTTGCCGCTTGGCAGCACTTGAGTGCCGCAAGAGTCGCTGGAACCATTTCTGCGGCGCTCATATTTTGTGGCGGAGGGATATACCTGGGTCCCTGTTGTATAATCTTCTCAATTCGAGATGGAACAATTTCCCCTGTGTAATTGTGATATTGGGTTGGCTGTACTGGATTTTGTTGTTTGCGTGCCGCATTGCTAAGCCACTTGAATTTCTTGTTTAGTTTATCCCTCTCATCTCGTGCAAATTTCGATGCCATGCTGTGAATCTTTCCAAGTTGGTCGTAGAGTGAAACCGGGTCACAAGACTTTGCAAACTGCAGATGGGCAACATATAACTTAAGCTCAGCTTCCGCCAATGATTTGCGTTTCACTTTAATTAATTTTAAAAGGAGCGATTTCTCCATTTGTTTCAAAGCACCTCGCAGACAGAAAGGAAAGGCCTTGAAGTTAATGGTTATGCACTTTGGAACTATATGATGCGTTCTACACTTGAGCAGAAAGACTAGTTGGGCATGTAGTTTATGCCATAACTTTTGTAAATTTAACATAGAAAAGAAGAACATCCGAATTCTGTTACTCATCTTGTTAGGTGTATTGAGTTCACGGGTTGGATGTCACGCCAACTTATGTCAATCAAAACTTCCAAGAACGTCAGTCTATGAGGCGTTAAATATACTTGAAATTATTTTTAATTTACGAGCGCTTTCGACGTAAATAAGCACGTCGTCTTCAGGTAAAATTAAATTCGAATAAAGAATTCGAACCATACATTTAAATTTAAAACATTAACGATACTAGCCGTTTTTGAACATACAAAAAAGAGATTTTAAATTTAAATATTTAGAATTAAACATTTAAAATTGGTGCGCATGCGTTTTAA